CCCGTGGGCAACCCATCCTCTCTAAGTGGATTCGTTCAACGGCCAGACCCACAGGTGCTGGCCTATTTCTGGGTAACTCCTGGTCGCTTCTCCTGCCTGGAAGGGGAGCGTCCTCCCTCTACAGCGGTTCCCACGGGCACCCCGACAGCAGGTGTTTCAGGACTGGAAGCCATGGTGCACCCACGCGCTCGGAGCCACCAGGAGAGCTGTCAATCCCTCCTCCTGAGCTCGGTTCAAAAACCGTAAGATCAGAGGAGGTGGAGAAAAAACGCATACAGAAGCATTTTGGGCCATGGACTGTGGACAAACGTATCCACCCCCCAGCGGTGGTTCGTCTCATGGGCTCAGAGAAGCGCATAATTGACACTGAACGTTTCCTGTGTTACAACAGGCCCACAGCCGCTATATCAATCTGAGACAAAATGCTCCGTCAGAGGATGATTAAAGGTTGTTCTGTCTACGACAACTTTGAGACAAAAGAAAAAACACGGTTGCAGCATACAACAGTCGTGCTGGACACCAGATTTCTGTCCTTCGGCTGCTGCAGAAAGACAGCATGTCGTCCAGTGGACATGAAGTGGCCTCTACGCCTTTCTGTACAGCAGCGTTGGAAAACTGACCACTTGATGTGAACAGCGCTGTGGTGGATGCAGCACATGACTCCTGAATCGTACGCACTACATCTTGCGAGAGATCCATCCTCTCAAAAATCTGCACAGCGGCCAAACCACAGGTGCTGGCCTATTCTTATTAATTCCTGATCGTTCCTCCCGCCTGGAGGGGAGCGTCCCCACTCCACGGCAGGTTCCACGAGCGCCCTGATAAAAAATGTCGTAGGCCTGGGAACCATGATGCGTTCACGCACTTGGGGCAGAGGAGCTGCCAGTCCCTCCTCCTGAGTTCGGTTCAAAAAACCATGATACCAGAGGGAGAGAAGAAGGTGAAAGGCATTACGACCACAGGCTGTGAGCAGGCACGTCCACCCAGCGGTGGATCGTCCTATGGCTCCATGAAATTATAATTGACATTGAGCGTTCTCTCGTGTTGCTACACGTCCGCAGACGCTGGTAGGATTCTACCGTGTCTGAGTCCTAGTTCTGGGTGGAATACATGAGATGTACCCACTCCAATAGAGAACAGATTGGATGTGTCCCACACAGCATCTGTCTCACAATGTGACACATGGATTGAAAAAATGCATACATTTCCTGCTAGTATGTATGCAACAGTCACTTGCTGTCTGAGAATCACAAACTCTGATGATTCTGCAGCTCAAGGTCAGTGTTGAGTCACATTCAAAGATCCCGTGCGACACTCCAAAACATTTAAAAGGCTGCTGTGTGGGGAGCCACAGCGGCTCCACAGCTTATTAAATGTGTGTGACGTAGATCTGCTGATGGAAAACAGCTGATATCACTCAACCGATTCACGTGAGTTGCACTGCTGCCCCCTGTCTATACAAGCTGCTCAACGGCAGGTGTCCAGATAACGCAGAATTAAAGCGGCTCGAGCGCATAATGGAGTGTTGTTTCTCACAGCTCAGAAAATTGACAATCTAGAATAAATCTCATCTTTCCGGTTCATTGGGACCAGGAAGTGATGAGAGAGACCTTGTGTTTCCTCTCCATCTGAGATTCTAAAAATTACATTTCAAAAAATAATTTCCTGAGCTTCTACTAGAGGGGACGAGATCTGTTCATAAATGACAGAAAAAACGTCACAGAGTTCCTCCACACCGGGGTTTAAGCTGAACTGCAGCGTGAATCCCGGATGAAAACGATTCGCCCATCCGTCTGGAGGCGTGCGTTCATTGCCACCCGTTACAAGCTATAAAGCGGGCACGCATTTATGCTGTGAAACTCACATACATGCTGATGTGAACTGAAGCGCGCTGAATGAGAGAGAAAAAGCCCACGCGCGTCCCCGAGGATGCAAGACGTTGTGTTGCTGCGGGAAAACGGCTCATGTGTTGTGTTCACGTTGAGTGCAGCTGCTTGGTGTAACGCTCGGAAGCGGGTGCACATATGAGGCGACGCGCCCTGAAGGGTCGTGTGTGTGCGTCCTCATGCGACGCTTTAAAACAGGATTGCCGCGGGGGAGTGCGTTGGCACTGGTGCGGTAAGGAGGCACCGCGCGCCAACGGTGGAGCGGGGTTACCACTGGCTCGGTCTGCAGAAAAACGTTCATCGTTTGCTGCGGGTCACGTGAGCTTTTGAGTGATTCCACGAGCTGCAATATTAATTCAGACAAAACCCCTTCTTCGAGGATGTATGAGCTGAGCCGCTGTGAAGGCTTGTGAGGCTGCTGACTCCGCGGGAGCGCGTGTTGGCACTGGAGCGGTCAGGAAGCAGCGCGCGGCATCAGTGAAGCGAGGCTACCCCTGGCTCGGTCTGCAGAAATACGTTCATTCTTGGCTGCAAGTCACGTGAACTTCAGAATGATTCCATGCGCTGCAGTATTAATTCAGAAAACCTTCTTCGAGGATAAAGAAGCAGAGCCGCTGTGAGGCTTGTGAAACTGCTGACGCTGCGGGAGCGCGCGTTGACACTGCTGCAATGACAAAACGTGTGTCGCTTCTGCCGGGAGCGAGATACGTTGCTGAGCTCGTACCGTGGTCTTACGTGAACGTTGACATGAACGGCAGGCGCTGAGAGCTGCGTGCACGCTTTCATGGCGCGGGAGTGCGCATCGGCACCGCTGACAGTGAATGAAAACAACCTTAAAAAGGCTCATTCGTGATGAGTGTGTGTGATGGGGCCGCTTGTCAGATAAACCATGCTGACAGCCTGGCTAAAGACACTTCATCATAAAATGATGTTATTTCACAGTGTCATCAACACACCTCCAGCGACCGGACACCTGATTACCTTCCGTTGAGCTCTGTTTGTTGTCCTGGAGGGCCCCCTGTTGGCGAAATCCGGGAAAAAAATAAACTTCCGGCTGCCTGGGACGTCTGACGGGAGGGGCTGGCGTAGCAGAGCTGGGGAGGCGTTGAGCAGCTGTGGAGCATCTTGAAATGATCTCTAGCTGATGAAAAGAGGATCACCAACGGACTCCTGCATTTCTCCTGAGAGGAAGGTGGAGTGACGGGCCAGGAGAGCTTCTGGGACCCCGTTCTCCGGCTGCGATGCGGGGCGGCAGACAGCAAAAGAGGCGCAACGGTTGAGGATGACGTCAGCTGACCTGTAGACTGAGCGTACTGCAGGGGCTGGCAGCGTCGTTAGCAGCAGCCGCTGTGAGAGCGGAGTGAGCCGAAGGACAGAGGGCCACCGTCTCTTCTCGCCTCTGAACGTGTACGCCAACAGCGTAATGTGTTGTTCGCTGCGGCCGTGTGGAACACATGCTGGTGAGCTCAGTTGGAGAGCGGTGTCACCGTCTCGGTTATGCTAACCGGAGGCACGGGACGCTGGTCCATCTCGACATCTTAATCCAATGAAGCCTCCATCAGGCTCGGCTCCAGAGGGCACGGAGGGACTTTCCGCTCAGTGAACCCCTGCTCTGGAGATGGGTGCGGACTGTGGAGACCGGCTCCCCCAATCTACCAGGAAAGAACCCGTCTGTGGCCTCGCCCGTAGGACCTCCTGTTGGGAGCACGAGGCCATATGGATCAAGACGGTGAGCCGGAATGGAGCCCAGTAACAACCTTCCCGCCGGATCATCCGAACTGGCGGGAAAGACGTAGGACGTAAAAAAGGGGTCCTTTCATGTCAGCCTCCTCCTGGGTTACGCCGGGCAACCCCTGAGGGCGCCGTCGGCCGGGAGCGGTGTGATGGCCGATGCGAAAACGAGGTGGGGTGGGGTGAGCATTCACTCAGCCCCCCTCCACCGACACTACGCTCCCCAGGAGGGAATGAGCAGCGGGGGCTGCAGCTGAGCACGCCTGTCCCGGAAGAACCATCCGATTCGCTCCGAGGGTTGGCGATAAGAGGAAAAAAATACAAGATGGCGTTGTCCAGCGTGTAGTGACCTGTCACTGGGAAGCGTGTAGTGACCTGTCACTGGGAAATATTCCTCGGCACTTACCTTGAAATAAGACTGCTCGTCATCTTCTCCTCGGGGAGGAGAACTCACCGGATGACCGGAGTTCGACTGCCGGGCCAAGCATCCTTAACAAAGGTTGGTCATCTACACAATTTTCCTTCTTTGTTCTTCTGACAGTGCTATTTTAGCTCGCTGAAGAAAAAATGGGAGCCGATTTCCCGCTCTTAACGTAATTTATACGGAACGGGTGGGGCCCACACAGCAGGTGGGCGTGGACTAAATTTTTTCAGTGCTTATGCTGCGCATAACGGGATAAACCCACTAAAGCGAAGGCCTTAAAGGGCGAAGCTTATACGAAATAGAACTTTGCTTTCATGCTGCTAATACTGTGCATCTTTAGGTTGTTGTTTTTTTTCCTCCCTTGTCCTGTCTGGCATTGTGACACTTAGAATCTTTATGCATCTTTAGTTTGAGAAGTGAAAAATGACTAAAGGCAAACAAAGACAGCACCAGAATGAGGACAGCACTAACACTAACAAAAAAATAATTACTTAATTGGGTATTCAGAAAAATGCTATTCCCAGGTGGACAGGGCCTTAGATTGTTCAGGAAAATGCAGATTTATAGTCACATTGAATAATAACTAATTCTGTAACAATACAGATAATTCTCATTCCATCTGTTGTCACTTTCCTTCTTCACAGAAATCGTAGGATCCTAGTAAGAATTTCAGAGTAACAGTCAAGTCCTGGTAATTTTCCACCAGCTTGAAGGAAAGACACTTACTACAACGAAGACAGCATTCCTGCAGTGCTCGGAGAAAGGTGCATGCCACACATTTTTATCTAGACCTCAGGAAACTGAAGACGTTTGAAAAGAGGCATGAAGTAAATAAAACTTGCAGCAGAAAGAGCGGGAGAACAGTCCCTGCAGGGGTTTTCAGATACCTTAAGACTCACACTCAAGGACACTGTGGAGGATTAAGAAGTTGACAGGCAGGACGGTCTCTTGAGACAAACCTTTGAGCTGAGACACCACGTTGGTCAGGTAGTTCTTCAGCTTGGGGTCAGTGGAGAGCTGCAGACTCATGTTGTAGTGAGTGACTCTGGAGAAGGTCTCCGGAGGGTAGATGCCCCGCTGGTACAGGATGCTGTTGATGCCGAACGCTGAGGAATCCAGAAGGTTCAGACACCACAGAAACTCAGTTAACCACAGGTGGTGATGCCACATATATCATAGATCAGTAGAGAAAAGGGACAGAAAACTACTTTACATTAAAAAAATTATGACTCATAAACTTCTAGCATTCCTTGAAGAAATACACATCGCTCACTACCACTCACAAAAGAGTTTTAAACTATGGGAAATGACAAGTTGTAGCCGTTTTGATCAAACTTTAAATGAACCTAACAGGTTGAGTCAGGTCTGAGTTTGTTGCAGCTCCTCGGACTGAAGAAGTCTTTTGGATAAAAGACAAAACGTTTCAACAAGTTTTTTTAATCCGTCCAGAGGACCAGACTCCCTCGTTAGATTTTTCAACCTGGATTACTGAGCAGCATCAGGGCACTTTAAATAAACATTATGCAACATCTCTGTGTATGTATTGTGAATGACTCTCAGCTACTACCACTTTAAGTTTAAGCTAAATATCTGCTAATTTGACTGCATTATAATTATTTTTTGGTGGGCTAATATTGATTAGCTGTGGAAGCCATCTTTAATTACATTGTTTCCAGTTGTAGATGTACATCTGATGTTTACTGTCTGAAAGTTTCATTTCTCTGTCAAGTAGTTAAAGAGATATTTTGCTAACAAAGTTTACCTAAACAGCCATCCATCTTTTTATCTTTACACATCTTTATCTTTCGGGTATCTTTACCCGCTTCTTCCGTTTTGGGTCACAGGGGTCACTGGTGCCCATGTCCAGCAATCACTGTGTGAGAGGCGGGAGACACCTGGACAAGTTTCCAGTCCATCACAGGGACACATGGAGACAAAAACCATTCACACTCTCACTCACACCTAGGGACAATTTAGAGTTATCAATCAGACTAACATGCATGTTTTTGGTCTGTGGGAGGAAACAGGAGAAAACCCCCACATGCACTGAGAGAACATGTAAACTTCATCCAGAAAGGGCCCCAGCTGGAATTTGATCTGGTGACCTGCTTGCTGAGAGGCAGCAACTCTACCAACTGTGCCACCGCGCCGCTCTTTACCTCAACAATAAATGCTAAATGTTTAGGCACGGATTTCGTACATTTTAAGTTAAAGTCTGTACAATAAGCTCAGGTGTAACCATTTATGTTTTTAAAGGTCAGATGTTGTGTGATGAACATCTTTAAATGGTGGGAATTTAAAAGTACAAATCGGATTCCAAAAAAGTTGGGACACTAAACAAATTATGAATAAAAACTGAATGCAATGATGTGGAGATGGCAAATGTCAATATTTTATTCGTAATATAACATAGATGACAGATCAAAAGTTTAATCTGAGTAAATGTAACATTTTAAAGGAAAAATATGTTGATTCAAAATTTCACAGTGTCAACAAATCCCAAAAAAGTTGGGACAAGTAGCAATAAGTGGCTGGAAAAGGGAAATTGAGCATATAATGAACAGCTGGAAGATCGATTAACACTAATTAGGTCAATTGACAACATGATTGGGTATTAAAAGAGCTTCTCAGAGTGTCAGTGTCTCTCAGAAGCCAAGATGGTAAGAGGATCACCAATTCCACCATTGTTGCACAGAAAGATAGTGCAGCAATACCAGAATGGTGTTACCCAGCGTAAAATAGCAAAGACTTTTAAGTTATCATCATCAACCGTGCATAACATCATCAAAAGATTCAGAGAATCTGGAACAATCGCTGTGCGTAAGGGTCAAGGCCATAAAACTCTACTGGATGCTCGTGATCTCCGGGCCCTTAAACGTCACTGCACCTGAAACAGGAATGCCACCATCAAGGAAATAACAGAATGGGCTCAGGAATACTTCCAGAAAGCATTGCCAGTGAACACAATCCACCGTGCCATCCGCTGTTGCCAGCTGAAACTCTACGGTGCAAAGAGGAAGCCATTTCTAAGCAAGCTCCACAAGCTCAGACGTTCGCACTGGGCCAGGGGTCATTTAAAATGGAGTGTGGCAAAATGGAAATGTTCTGTGGTCAGATGAGTCACGATTTGAAGTTCTTTATGGAACACTGGGACGCCATGTCATCCGGACCAGAGAGGACAAGGATAGCCCAAGTTGTTATCAACGCTCCGTTCAGAAGCCTGCATCACTGATGGTATGGGGTTGCATGAGCGCTTGTGGCATGGGCAGCTTGCATGTCTGGAAAGGCACCATTAATGCAGAGAACTATGTTCAGGTTCTAGAACAACATATGCTCCCATCTAGACGTCCTCTCTTTCAGGGAAGACCCTGCATTTTTCAACACGATAATGCCAGACCACATTCTGCAGCAATCACAATATCATGGCTACGTAGGAGAAGGATCTGGGTACTAAAATGGCCAGCCTGCAGTCCAGATCTTTCACCTATAGAGAACATTTAGCGCATCATAAAGAGGAAGGTGCGACAAAGAAGGCCCAAGACGATTGAACAGTTAGAGGCCTGTATTAGACATGAATGGGAGAGCATTCCCATTTCTAAACTTGAGAAACTGGTCTCCTCTGTCCCCAGACGTCTGTTGAGTGTTGTAAGAAGGGGGGATGCCACACAGTGGTAAAAATGGACTTGTCCCAACTTTTTGGGGATTTGTTGACGCCATGAAATTTGGAAACAACAGATTTTTCCCTTAAAATGATACATTCTCTCAGTTTAAACTTTTGATCTGTGATTTGTGTTCTATTCTGAATAAAATATTAGATGTTGGCACCTCCACATCATTGCATTCAGTTTTTATTCACAATTTGTTTAGTGTCCCAACTTTTTTGGAATCCGGTTTGTACAAATAAATAAAACCCCACATAGTTTCAGTGTAATCCAGAAATCATCATGCCAGCAGACAGAGTACATGCAACGAGCAGAACCTCGTCCGCAAAATGGAAGAAAGTAACTTTGATCACGATTTCTAATCAAATAAATAATTACCAGACCGAGTGCATGCGGGCTTTCGAAAAAACTGAGGTCTTAAAAACATTCGGCATGAAATAAGACACGGTGTTATTAAAAACAGAACATAATAAGAACGATTTAAGAAAAGATCTGTTCTCCGTCACACTTTTTCATTCATTCAACCTTTATTTAGACACACAGGATTCTGATGGGCGGATCACTTCACTGTGAACACGTTGAATTCATTAACATTCCCGACAAAATAAACTGTTTTCTGCAATATCTGCGAGCTACGAGCGGTTTGTACTGCTTACACCAAATACTTTGTTTCAGATGGTTTTCCTCAGTTTCGTTGCAGTTCTGACCGGATTGGAGGCCCAGTAGTAGCATGCTCGTTCTCGTGTGGAAAACGCGTTAAGTGCTGCTGGAAACACGACACGAACAATAATACTCACAGAAGAACTCGGCCACTAGCTCCGCACTTCCTTTAAGGGTAATTCCCTTCAACGTGCTGGTCATTTTCCAAACTGATATAAGTAATGTCCCTTAAAGAACTTTGTGTTGCTTCTGTTGTGCTAACTGTAAGGCTTCAACTGCCCGCCGTCAAGTTTGAATCTGATCAACTCTCTAGAGCGCATGCGTAACAGAGTCATTTCCCTGATGACGTTTTATGTTGCGTTCAAAGCTACCGGACACGAGAGGGCAGTATTCACTGACCGTTCCCCCTGGTATTTTGTTTGTATTGTTGATGCTGATGACTGGTTAACAACCAGATGTTTTATATGTCTTATAATTAAAAATAATAATAATAAAGCATTCATTTACCGCCTGTCTCTGTGTATTTTTTTTTTTTTTTTACTTTATTGAACACAAGAACAAAAGACAATCTCAAATTACAAAACAATGTGAAATTAACATATTATTCTGATCAAATTTAAATTTAAAGTAACATTATTAGTAGCAGAGAATTAGCAAAAAAAAAGGATAGAAGCAAACAAAGAACTATTTAAGTAAAATTATACATATCTACTCAGATAATTCATTACAGGGCTATATTATCTGAGTGAGGTGAAAGTACTGAAAGTAAAGGGGCCGAATAATATTACACCCCCCACTTTTCAGTTTTTTATTTGTTAAAAAAATATGACACATCCAATAAATTTCATTCCACTTCACGATTGTGTCCCACTTGTTGATTCTTCACAAAAATTTTAAATTTTATATCTTTATGTTTGAAGGCTGAAGTGTGGCAAAAGGTTGAAAAGTTCAAGGGGGCCGAATACTTTCGCAAGGCACTTTAGTTCATTGTGGCGACTCCTGAAGAAGGGAGCAGCTGAAAGAAGAAGAAAAAAACTTTACTATTATCTGTACATAACATTTTCTGCTCTTATTCTATCCAGACCTCCATGGCTACCATGGCTGATGGCTCTTCAGAGGAGGCCTTGCAGAACCAGAGATGAGCTCATGATAGCGGACTACCTGACTAGAGTTCACGCAACTCACGTGCACACAATATACTTACACATCAACTATATAATTATACACTGCGTACTTATACACACAAATTGATTGATTGATTGATTGATTGATTGATTTTATTGTCAATTCTGCATATGTACAGGACATACATAGAAATTGAAATTGCATTACACTCCTACTCAAGTTGCAGCAAACAACAACATTAGCAAAAATAAACTAACACAACTAGTTATAAAAAAATATAAAAGTGAACAGCAGCAGGACCTCTGATGCAACGTGCTCAATAGTGACTAACAGGAGACAAAGGGACGCTGACTGAAGACAATAACATGATGAGAGGTAGATAATGGATGTGCAAGGCCAGAGTAAACAATAGTGCAATATAAAGTATAAACCTGAGAAACTTAGTAAAGTGAAGGTGTGCATACCGGTTCTATATAGAGTCACAGTTATGTACTGATGAGGTGATTAAGTGGAAATGACAATACCAGAATAAACAGGACGAGTTGATCATAACAGTAGTGCAAAATATAATGCAATAAAACAGTAGAGTGAGCTTGTAGGCTGTTAAAGTGACCGAGTTCATAAACTATTCATAAAAATAAATAAATGTCCCAGAGCAGTTTTGAAGGGGGGGGGGTGTGAGGGGGGGGGGGTGTCAGGAAGCTGAGTTAGTGTGTGCAGGGTGGCAGAAGTGGGAGAGGGGGCTGAGGGGGGGCAGGCAGAGAGTTCAGCATCCTCACGGCCTGATGGACGGAGTTGTTCCACAGTCTGCTGGTCCTAGAACTGAGGCTACGCAGTCTCCGCCCTAATGGCAGCAGGTTGAAGAAACAGTGTAGCGGGTGGTCAAGATCTCCCACCCAGCAGAGGGCTTTACTTCTGAGGCGAGAGCTGTGGAGGTCCTGAAGGCAGGGGAGAGAGGTGCCAATGATCTTCTCAGCTGTCCTCACGATCCGCTGGAGGGATTTGCGGCAGGATGCTGTGCAGGCCCCGTACCACACAGTGGAGCAGCTCATCAGGATGCTCTCGATGGCCCCCCTGTAGAAGGTTGTCATGATGGGGGTGGGGGCTCTCGCTCTTCTCAGCTTGCGGAGGAAGTAGAGCCGTTGGTGAGCCTTTTTGGCCACTGCTGCTGTGTTGATGGTCCAGGAGAGGTCCTCAGAGATGTGCACACCCAGGAACTTGGTGCTGCTCACCCTTTCCACAACAACACCGTTGATGGATAGTGGAGCATGTTTTGTCTGAGTTCTCCTGAAGTCCACAACAATCTCCTTGGTCTTCTCTGTGTTCAGCAAGAGATTGTTGCGTTTGCACCAGGAGACCAGCCGACTCACCTCGCTCCTGTAGAGTGACTCATCGTTGTTGCTGATGAGGCCTACCACAGTCGTGTCGTCCGCAAACTTGATGAAGAGGTTGGAGGGGTGTGATGGAGAGCAGTCGTAGGTTAGTAGAGTGAACAGAAGGGGGCTCAGCACACATCCTTGTGGGGCCCCCGTGTTCAGAGTGATGATGCTGGATGTGTTGCTGCCAACCCGTACTGCCTGTGGTCTTCCGGTAAGGAAGTCAAGCAGCCAGTTGCACAGTGATGTGTTCAGACCCAGACTGTCCAGTTTCCAGATGAGTTGTTGTGGGATGATTGTGTTGAATGCAGAACTGAAGTCGATGAAGAGCATTCTGACATAGGTGTCTTTCTTGTCCAGATGTGTGAGGGCTGAATGAAGAGCAGTGGCGACGGCATCATCAGTCGAGCGGTTTGACCGATATGCAAACTGGTAGGGGTCCAGGGAGGGGGGGAGGGAGGACCTAATGTGTTGCATGACTAGTCGCTCGAAGCACTTCATGAGGATGGAAGTGAGTGCAATGTAATGTAAGTACAGTGGTGCTTGAAAATGTGTGAAGCCTTTATCATTTTTCATATTTCTGCATCAATTTGACCTAAAACATCATCAGATTTTCACACAAGTCCTAAAAGTATACCAAGAGAACCCAGTTAAACAAATGAGACAAATGTATTATACTTGGTCATTTATTTATTGAGGACAATGATCCAATATTACAAATTTGTGAGTAGTAAAAGTATGTGAACCTTTGCTTTCAGTATCTGGTGTACCCCCCCATGCAGCAATAACTGCATCTAAACATATCTGGTAACTGTTGATCAGTCTTACACATCAACTTGGAGGAATTTTAGTCCATTACAGCGTCAACTCTGGATGTTGGTGGGTTTCCTCACATTAGCTGCTCACTTCAGGTCATTCCACAACATCTGGACTGAATTAAAGTCAGGACTTAGGGTGTGCTCTAGTCACACAAGGAGAGCTGTTGGTCAGACTATTTCTTGTGCCATTAACTCTCAAAAAGTTATTGAATCAAGTGTTTACTTATTGTTAGCAGAGATGATTCTTCCAGCAGAATTTACGTGATAATGAAGAAATACCAGTAAAAAGGGACAGAGGAATAAACACACGACGTCAGCTTCTTGGTTTCATCAAAGAAGAAGAGGAAATTTTTATTAAACTCTCGCATTTATATACGCTCCATACAGGAAGCACAGGAAGTGCTCTTTCAAAATAAAATACAAAATAAAAGTACAAATGAGAGCATACATATCGTAACACCCCCACTTGAGCTCACTTTGTCAGCTTTAAATAAACTCAAATATGTTTACACTCCAAATATATATTCTATATACATACATACATATTATCTTTTGTACATATATACATGCATCTCTTGTGACTTTTCACACACAACTTTCAGTTTGACCAAAATCAAAAAAATATTTGAGTTTACCCATATCTTTCATTTTGAACCTTACTGTTCACATTTCTTTCACAGTTTTCAAAACATTTTCATCACTGGCTGCAACAATAATATCACCAACCCAAATAATTAGGATCACTTTGTCAATTCTTGTTTTTCTTTACATACAACCATCTACTACAGATGGCACAGTGGGATAGTGGGAGCATACCAAAGAGACCATCTTATCACAAGCAGAATTGGTTTGTTCCACTTTGGAGTAAGCTGTTGGGGGAAGAATCAGTTTTGTTGTGTGTTTCCTTGACTGATGAAGCCTTCCGGATCGAAGGCGAAACGTTTCAGCACAAAAAAAGAAACTGTCTAGCTGACCTGACTGAAACGTGTTGGATTGTGTACCTGGATTATTGAGCATGGACTTTGTTGACCAAGTATAATATTTTTGTCTCTTTTGTTTAGCTGGATTCTCTTGATCTATTTTTAAGACTGCAGATGACACTGAGATGCAGGCCACACATTCAAACCTAACACCACACAACTCGTTCAAACCTGGAATGATGAATTCCAAGATACAGAGCCCTAAAAGGGGCCACCCTGCCAAAACCCTGTCAAATCCCATTAAATGAAAGGTTATGTAATATATATATATATATATATATATATATATATATTATAGACCCTTTATTTATACATGTAGTCTCATTGAGTCACGAGAACTCATTTTCAAGAGAGACCTGTTTTTGGGAGCAAATGGTGGGGTTAAGGGCCTTGCTTAAGGGCCCAGATAATATACAGTATACCAAACAATCTGTTTTGTTTTTTTGTTTTGTTTTCACAAGTCAGTTTTCTTTCTCTTTCGTTCTTTCTGAAATATTTCTCCATCAGGCTGCACTCGCCACTTCAGTGTGATTGCCCTTACTCCGTTCTCCTTCAATCTGTCCTGGAGCTGAAAGAGAGAAGTCAAGAAGAGACTCAAAATGACATTCTGAAATAAATAAATAAATAAAATATAGAGATATTTTATTATTTGCAAACCAACTCTCATTTGAACTGTAATCAACAAGCACAGAAATTGAATCATAATCAATCAATCTATATTTTAAACTTACTTTTTTCAAAGTATTTGCTTTGAGATCAGGGTCATTCAGGCCAACAGAGTCCTCTGTCCTCAGTCTTAGCTTTACCTGTGTAAGGGTCCCACTGCCTGCAGCCTGCCTTGCTGATGGCCGCTGATTACCAACACCTGGCAGCCATCAGCCTGATGAGCCTCTCCATCTACTTAAGGCTGCAGTCCGGTGTGACTCAACGCTGGAGCATATCACCTCTCATGTTTCCTGGTTCCTTCGTGTTTTTGGATTCTCCTCGTGGCCTGACACGGATCCCTCGGCCTG